CACTGTCATTTTGCTACTGTTATGAATTATCATGTAAATATCCGATATGCAGGATGTATTTTATTTTATTTACGACATTTATATAGCGCCCTTCTCACCCCGAAGGGGACTCAGAGCGGCTTACAAGTAAAAAAGTAAATACAATATATTATATTATCACCATAGCACAATATTGATATTATATATTACATTGTACTATAGCATTTTACTGTCATATTATTAGTAATATTACATTTAATATAAAATATATAATTATAATATCATGTCCCACTGCCAGAAGGGACAGAGAACTTCATCTATGCTGATGATCATACCATCACTCACAGCAACCCAATGATTCTGGACATGAAAGCCTTCAACAACACAGGAGCTAATTGCACCTCCTGAGAAAAATGTATAATATCACACAGGACGACCACCTCACCCGCCTCATAGGAAACCTGCTACAGAACAGGAGCTTCTTTGTTGAGTTCCAGGGCCAGAGAAGCAGATGGCGGAAACAGAAGAACGGCCTGCCTCAGGGGAGCGTGCTTGCTCCATCCATGTTCATCTACACAAATGACCAGCCACTGCCAGAAGGGACAGAGAGCTTCGTCTATGCTGATGATCGTGCTATCACCGCCCAAGCAGGGAGGTTTGAGAGGGCTGAACAGAAGCTCTCCGAAGCTCTAGGTGCTCTTACTGCCTATTACAGGGAAAACCAGCTGATCCCTAATCCATCTAAAACACAGACATGTGCCTTTCATCTCAAGAACAGACAAGCATCCCGAGCTCTGAGGATTATTACCTGGGAAGGAAGGAATCCCACGGGAGCATTGCAGCACACCCAAGTACCTGGGAGGAGTCACTCTGGACCTTGCTCTGACCTACAAGAAGCACTGCCTGAACATCAAGCAAAAAGTGGGCACTAGAAGCAATATCATACGAAAGCTGACTGGCACAACCTGGGGATCACAACCAGACACAGTGAAGACATCTGCCCTTGCGCTATGCTACTCTGCTGCTGAGTACACATGCCCAGTGTGGAACACATCTCACCACGCTAAAACAGTGGATGTGGCTCTTAATGAGACATGCCGCATTATCACGGGGTGTCTGCGCCCTACACCACTGGAGAAATTACACTGCTTAGCCGGTATTGCACCACCTGACATCCGCCGGGAAGTAGCAGCCAATAGTGAAAGGACCAAGGCAGAGACATCTCCAGCTCATCCCTTGTTTGAGTATCAGCCAGCACGTCAACGACTTAAATCAAGAAATAGTTTTCTTAGATCTACAGAGACACTCGCTGGAACACCTCAGCAAGCGAGAGTCCAAAAGTGGCAGGCTCAAACCCAGAACCTTGATCGATAGGTGATACCAAAGGAGAGACTCCCCCCTGGGCACACAGAAGAAGACGGGGCGACGTGGAAGGCGCTGAACAGACTGCGCTCTGGCCCCACGAGATGCAGAGCCAACCTCAAGAAATGGGGCCACAAAGTGGAATCCACGACATGCGAGTGCGGAGAAGAAGAGCAAACCACTGACCACCTGCTGCAATGCAACCTGAGCCCTTCTTCCACATGATGCACAAGGGAGGACCTTCTTGCGGCAACACCAGAGGCACTCCAAGGGGACAGAGACTGGTCAAGGGACATTTAATCCACTACCTAACTTGCAAACTTTGTGTTTTGTCTGTTTGTTTGTTTTGTTCTGTTAGAAATGTAATACAATTGAGTGGTTGCCCTGACACGACAAATAAATAAAATATTGTATTATATCTATATCTATATCTATATCTATATCTATATCTATATCTATCTATCTATCTATCTATCTATCTATCTATCTATCTAATGCTCTGTGCATAATGAGTTCCTTAAAAACAAAAGAACCAATGAACGAAATCACACCAAATTTGGCAACAAAACATCTCACAACACAAGGAGTGACCATCACTCAGAAATTATGATTTTGTCATTTGGGAGTTGTAGTTGCTGGTATTTATAGTTCACCTATAATCAACGAGCATTCCGGACTCCACGAACGATGGAATTGAACCAAACTTGGCACACAGGACTCCCATGACCAACAGTAAATATTGGAAGGGTTTGGTGGGCATTGACCTTGAGTTTTTGAGTTGTAGTTCACCTACATCCAGAGAGCGCTGTGAATCCAAACACCAATGGATCTGGACCAAACTTGGCACCAATGCTCAATATGCTCAAATGTGAACACTGGTGGAGTTTGGGAAAAATACACCTTGACATTTAGGAGTTGTAGTTGCTGGGATTTGTAGTTCACCTACATCCAGAGAGCACTATGGACTCAAACAATGATAGATCTGGACCAAACTTGGCACAAGCACTCAGTACGCCCAAATATGAACACAGATTGAGTTTGGGGGAAATAGACCTTGACATTTGGGAATTGTAGTCACTGGGATTCACAGTTCACCTACAATCAGGGAGCATTCCAAACCCCACCAACGATGGAATTGGGCCAAACACTCCACACAGAACCCCCATGACCAACAAAAAATACTGTGTTTTCTGGTGGTCTTTGGTGACCCTTCTGACACCCACCTGGTGACCCCCCCCCTCCCCCGCGTCTTCCCAGGTTAAGAACATCCAGTCCAACTCCCTTCACCAGGGCAAGAAAACATAATCAAAGCCCTCCTGACAAAGGGCCATCCAGCCATTCACACACACACACATATGTCTATGACAGATGCAGTATCCTAGATTTGAAAGGGGCCCCTGAAGAAGGACAATGATATGTTCCATGTTCCAGAGGAGGCAAACCAGACAATCTCCACATCAACACTGGCAAGAAATTACATATATTGGAAACCAACACTTTCTCATTACTTTATTTTCCAGATCAACAGATTGAGCCACAGCAATGCCTGGCAGGGGATGGCTAGTAGGATATAAGTTGGTTTCCTAGTTCCAACAGACCTCCCTACCTCTGAGGTTGCTTGCCATAGGTGCAGGCAAAACGTCAGGAGAGAATGCCTCTAGACCATGGCCAAATGTTGCACTTTTTATTGTAAACCGCTTAGAGTCGCCTTGGCTGATATAGGCGGTATACAAAAGGAGTAAATAAATAATAAATAAATAAATAAATATAGCTCAAAAAAACTACAACAACCCACTCTCTGAGATTTACTATCATTTCGTAGAGCTTGTAAAACTTATTTATTTAGGCTGGCATTTGAATCTGGTTGATTGAATTTTTTTTAAATGTAATGTATTGCATATGTATGTTGTAAACTGCTGCAAGCCTTCGGGGAGTGGCGGTGTATAAATTCGATTAATAAATAAATAAATACATAACTAAATACCTGCAAGGAGACAAATCCATGCAAGTCAATGGAGCTTCCCAGCTCTTCCCCATCTGCTCCCTGCCCTTGGAGGGAAGAAGAAACCGGCCGTGCCAATGAACTGGGGGAACGGGCGATGCTTTGAGTGTGTTAAACTCCTGCGCGGAATAAATGAAGGAGCGCTGGGCCTTGATGCCCCGAGTTGTGTTTAATAGATGCATCCTGGGACTCAATTATAGCCCGGCAACTCTGGAAGGGAGGCTTAATTGAAAGGGCATCGCTGAGTTGCTTTACTGTTTGAATTCTGAGCAACAGACTCCTTCCCCAAAGAACCAAAGAGGCGCGCCGTTTGCATACGTTACTTACTTAGGCAAGCCCTCAAGCCCTCCAATTGCAGTGTCCTGGCGGTGGGTCCGGAGGTGGCTGTGGAGCCCTCTTCTTGACCTGCATCTTCTCCCTTCTGCAGTGACGGCATCGGTTTGCATGTGGAAGGTGGTCCCAATCGGGGTTGGCTTGATGCATCTTCCTCTTGCCACGTTTCCCCCTTTTCCCCTTCATCTGTGCCTCCTCGAATTCTGCAGCACTGCTGGTCACAGCTGACCTCCAGCTGGAGAGCTCAAGGGCCAGGGCTTCCCAGTTCTCAGTGTCTATGCCACAGTTTTTAAGGTTGGCTTTGAGCCCATCTTTAAATCTCTTTTCCTGTCCACCAACATTCTGTTTTCCGTTCTTGAGTCCGGAGTAGAGCAACTGCTTTGGGAGATGGTGGTCGGGCATCCGGACAACGTTGCCTTCAGTCTAGCGGAGTTGATGGCAGAGGAGCATCGCTTCAATGCTAGTAGTCTTTGCTTCTTCACACTGACATTTGTCCGCCTGTCTTCCCAAGAGATTTGCAGGATTTTCCAGGGGCAGCGCTGATGGAATCATTCCAGGAGTTGCATGTGACGTCTGTAGACAGTCCACGTTTCGCAGGCGTATAGCAGGGTTGGGAGGACAATAGCTTTATAGACAAGCACCTTGGTCTCCCTATGGATGTCCCGGTCCTCAAACACTCTCTGCTTCATTCGGAAAAATGCTGCGCTTGCAGAGCTCAGGCGGTTTTTTATTTCAGTGTCAATGTTGACTTTGGTGGAGAGGTGGCTGCTAAGGGAGCGGAAATGATCAACATTTTCTAATGTTACACCATTAAGCTGTATCTCTGGCATTGGAGAGGGGTTGGCTGGTGACTGCTGGAAGAGCACTTTGGTTTTCTCGATGTTCAATGAGAGGCTGAGCTTCGTGTATGCTTCTGCGAAGGTGTTTAGAGTGGCTTGTAGGTCTTCTTCTGAATGTGCACAGACGACGTTGTCATTAGTATACTGGAGTTCTATAACGGATGTTGTTATAACCTTGGTTTTGGCTTTCAGTCTGCTGAGGTTAAATAGCTGGGGCTAACAATGGGAGCTCACCTCGTCCGTGGATTCAAACTGCTGACTGCAACTTAGCAGTTTAACCTGCTGCACCCCTAAACCCTACACTTCCATAAATCAAAAATGGAAGGCACATGACTTAACAATGATCACAACAATATGGTTGGGATGATGGGTGCTGTTGGATCAGCGCTCCCATCATCTCCAACAGACGTTGACCTGCAACTCCTCTTAACCGAATACTCTGTTGGCTTGACCTTTATGAGAAGGGCTAAGAGAAAGGTACTCACATCACGACGTACGGATTGGGGGTGTTGCCCTTGCGGGTGGGGGGCAGGTTCTTGGCCCCGTGCAAAGTGACGCTGATGGATTCCTTGTCAGGATTTGACAGGTGCCAATTGTTGGTTGGCGAAGTCATGACAGGCTGTCCGGGCTCAGCTGGGTCTTCCTTGACCTGCAACGTGGAAACAAGAACATTTTTATTTTATTTATTTATTTATAATTCAAACTTCTATGCGGCCACTCCCCTGGGGCTCAGAGCGGCTTACAAGAACAGGCTAAAATCAAACACAATTTAAAACAATTTAAAAACAGCGATATCAGAGATCAAAGGCCCGTTGAAACACGTATGTCTGACATGCCCTGCGGAAAGCTGGTAAGTCCTGCAAGGCACGGACTTCGGGTGGCAGAGCATTCCAGAGTGATGGTGCCACTGCTGTGAAGGCTCTGCGCCTGGTTGCTGTTAGACGCAAGGTCTTGACACTGGGGACTTCCAATAGATCTTGGTCCTCAGAACGGAGGGATCTCTGGGGTTGGGAGGGGGTGAGGCGGTCCCTCAGGTACATCGGCCCCAGACCATGCAAGGCCTTAAAGGGGAGTCCCATCCCTTTGAAAGTGATCCGGTGCTTAATGGGTAACCAATGCAGCTGCAGTCAGATTGGGGTGATGTGGCATCTCATCGAATTCCCGCAAGAAGCCGAGCCGCTGCGTTTTGGACCACCGACAGAGGAAGGCCAATGGAGAGGGCGTTACAGTAGTCCAGCCTTGAGATGACTGTGGCCTGGATGACTGTAGCTAGGCCGTCCCTGGACAGGGAGGGGGCCAGCCGTCTAGCCTGCCGCAGGTGGAAGAAAGAAGGCGGTTCTGCTCACGGTGGAGAGAGACCTGGGCCTCCATCCTCAGCAGAAAGAGGGTCCAAAAGGACTCCCAGACTCTTGACCAATGATGACGGGCATAGCGCCTCGCCATCCAGGGTAGGCAGATGGACGTCCCCACTGCCCGGTTGACCCAGCCATAGGATCTCCGTCTTTGCTGGATTCACCCTCAACCTGCTGGCACGCAGCCACCCAGTCACGGCCTCGAGGCACTGAGGGAAACAATCAGGGACAGAGTCCGGCTGGACTTCCATCTTCAGCACCAGCTGAGTGTCATCCACGTATGGGTCACACTCCAGCCCAAAACCTTGGACCAGCTGAGCAAGTGGTCGCATGTAGATGTTAAACAAGAGAGGGGAGAGAATGTGTCAGGATTATTGAGGTATGCATGTGTGTTTTTCAATGTGTTTCTATGTAATTCAAGATGGATTAAGATGTGTTTCAAGATGGATTCTATTATGCTGTTGAATTGTGTATTAGAAATATTGTGAGAAGCAGAGAAAATGTAACCTTGACAGAAGTGAGATAACATGTTCTCTGGCTGTGGGAAGTAGGAGGAGGATCCGGTTACAGCCAGAGGTCTGATAAGCAGATGTTCCGAAACTGTTTATGCTGTGCTTTGTAGTTCCTGATTACAGCCCGCTAAGAATGGACATGTGTAGATGTGCTTAGTAAACTTTGTGTTATTTGTAACTGTAAAACTGCAGAGTCCTGATTTTTGTGTCTGTTGATCTAGCAACCTCTTCCGCTGCACATATACCCCCAAATTCTCTGACAAAATGGCCCCCTGAGGGACCCCACAAGAGAGATAGAGGGGACCTCTCAGAGACCAGGCCTCCCCTCTCCACTCACTGTCCACGGTTGTGAAGAAAGGAGGGGAGCCAATTCAAAGCCCCCCCCCCCGACTCCAGCAACGACCAAGTGGTGGGTCAAGAGTTTGTGGTCGACTGTGTCCAATGCGGCTGTGAGATCCAAGAACACAAGCAGCGCTGACCCGCCCTGGTCAAGCTGGCATCGAAGGTGATCCGTGATGGAGACCAGCACAGTCTCTGTCCCGTGCCCCACACGGGAGCCGGACTGGAAGGGATTGCATCTACACTGCATTTTGACACCCCTTTGCCATGGTTCAGTGCAACGGGATTCTAGGAGTTGTAGTTTGACAAGGTCCTGAGCCTTCTCTGCCTACCAAAGAGTGGTCGTGCCTTCCCAAACGGCGACTTAGCATTGATCCATGGCACATGAGAACTCATTGTAGGCTGGATTCATTCTCCTTGAACTTCCAGGCCGCCGGCCTGCCCTGGTCAAGCTGGCATTGAAGGTGATCCGTGATGGAGACCAGCACAGTCTCTGTCCCATGCCTCACACGGAAGCCAGACTGGAAGGGATCTCATCCGGCTCTGTCGTCTAGGATTTCTGGGAGTTGAAGGCCAAAACGTCTGGGGACCCACAGGTTGAGAAACACTGTTTATTTATGTATTATTTATTTCAGAGTTTTATACACCGACCTTCTCACCTCTTTTGAGGGACTCAGACCGGTTTCCAACCATAAAAGCACATACAATCGGTAAAAACATCATATTACAATAACACATTAAAACAACAAATATATCCAAAACTACAGTGGTCAGTCGTCATACTAAAAAACAATTATACATCATCTTCCATGTCTTAGGGTGTTGTCTCACTCATCAAAAGCCTGTTTCCATAACCACGTCTTCACCTTTTTCCTAAAAATCAGGATAGAAGGGGCGGTTCTGATCTCCGGTGGGAGAGAGTTCCAGAGTTGCGGGGCCACCACCGAGAAGGGCCCGGTCCTTCGTCCCCACCAGACGCGCTTGCGAGGCCGGTGGGACCGAGAGCAGGGCCTCTCCAGACGATCTTAATAATCTTGATGGTTCATAGGGGAGAATACGTTCATTTAGGACTTTATAGGTTAACACCAGCACTTTGAATTGTACTCGGAAGCTAATTGGCAGCCAGTGGAGCTGGTGTAACAGCGGAGTGGTGTGCTCCCTGTACCCAGAACCCGTTAGTAGTTTGGCTGCCGAGCATTGGACTAGCTGCAGCTTCTGGGCAGTCTTCAGGGGCAACCCCACGTAGAGGGCGTTGCAGTAGTCTAAACGGGATGTAACCAAAGTGTGGACCACTGTTCTAGAAGCATTCCCTCTGACGTCAGGAGAGATGGCTTCTGGAACATGGCCATACAGCCTGGAAAACTCACAGCCGCCCCTGTGTTTATTCCTTAGGTTTGGGAACACACACCCCACATCGCCTCCTCCTCTCCTCCATTCTCCGACACATATGGGATGCATTCCGCTCCAAACCCTTTTATCCCTTTTATTCCGTGTTTTGCTGGGTGACGGCACAGGTTAAAAAAAGGAAAACCTCGCCAATATGCTCCGAAGAGACTGCCAACCCTTTGAATTAGAGGCGAGACCCCTTTGCAAAGCTCTTGGGGACCACGCCGGGTCGATGGAGCCAGATGAGGCGCTAATGAAAAGATGATTGAAAGGGTCTCCGTCCCTTCCTTCATTTGCAAGTCAAGGAGGGAAAGAGAGAGAGAGAGAGAGAGAGATGTATTTTAACTCTTGCCTTGGCTTTGGAAGGAGACCCTCAGGTGGGAAAGCAGATTGGATCTACCACCAGTCAGAGTCCATAGATCAGTGGTCCTCAACCTTCCTAATGCCGCGACCCCTTCATACCGTTCCTCATGGGGTGGTGACCCCCAACCATCACATTACTTTCGTTCGCTTCTTCATAACTGTAATTTTGCTACTATTATGGATCGTCAAGCAAATATCTCACATGCAGGTCTATTTTAATTCACTGGACCAAATTTGGCACAAATACACGATATGCCCAAATTTGAATACTGGTAGGGTTGCGGGGGAATTGATTTTGTCATTTGGGAGTTGTAACTGCAGGAATTTCTAGTTCACCTACAATCAAAGAGCATTCTGAACTCCACCAACGATGGAATTGAACCAAACTTGGCACACAGGACTCCCATGACCAACAGAAAATACTGGAAGGGTTTGGTGGACATTGACCTTGAGTTTGGGAGTTGTAGTTCACCTACATCCAGAGAGCACTGTGGACTCAAACAATGATGGATCTGGACCAAACTTGGCACGAATACTCAATATGCCGAAATGCGAACACTGGTGGAGTTTGGGAAAAATAGACCTTGACATTTGGGAGTTGTAGTTGCTGGGATTTATAGTTCACCTACAATCAAAGAGCATTCTGAACTCCACCAACCTGGAATGGAACCAAACTTGGCACACAGGACTCCCATGACCAACAGAAATTACTGGAAGGGTGTGATGGGCATTGACCTTGAGTTTGGGAGTTGTAGTTCACCAACATCCAGAGATCACTGTGGACTCAAACAATGATAAATCTGGACCAAATGTGGCATGAAAGCTCAATATGCCCAAATGTGAACACTGGTAGAGTTTGGGGAAAATAGACCTTGACATTTGGGAGTTGTAGTTGCTGGGATTTGTAGTTTACCTACAATCAAAGAGCACTCTGAACCCCACTGACAGAATTGGCCAAATGTCCCACACAGAACCCCCATCACCAACAGAAAATATTACTTTCTGATGGTCTTTGGTGACCCCTCTGACACCCCCACACGACCCCCCCAGGGGTCCCGACCCCCAGGTTGAGAAATGCTGCCATAGATGGCCATTCGCGGAGTCCCTGCACCCAAACCCAGGGTGCATCTACACTGTGGAATTAAAGTAGCTTGAGTCTACCTTAGTGCCTTTGCTCAGTGCTATGGAATTCTGGGAGTTGTAGTTTTACAAAGTCTTGAATCTTCACTGCCCAAGGATCTTGGTGCCCCTCAACAAACTATAGCTCCCTGACCCATGGCGGCTAAAGGGGCGCCAAACTGCATTAATTCTAGATGCGACCCAGATCCCAATATGAATCCACATTAGGTTTTACCCCAAGGTTTCAGTGAACTATCCAAGGTACTATACATATTGGAGAGGGGTACGTTTTAGCACCTTGGATAGTTCTTTCAGGCGGAAACTTTGAGCCGGTGGTCCACGCAGTAGTTGGAAGGCTAAAACCAGTGTTTCTCAACCTGGGGGTCGGGACCCCTGAGGAGGTCACGAAGGGGTGTCTGAGGGGTTGCCAAAGACCATCAGAAAACACAGTATTTTCTTTTAGTCATGGGGATTCCATGTGGGAAGTTTGAGCCAATTCTATGGTTGGTGGAGTTCAGAATGTGCTTTGATTGTAGGTAAACTATAAATCCCAGCAACTACAACTCCCGAAAGTCAAG